GAATTCTCCTCTGTGTTTCAATTAACCCACTAGTGATCGGCTAACAAAGTTCATAGTCATTTGAGTTAAATTAAAAGAGTTATGGGGTAGGAAATACTAGGGGAAAATTAGTAAGTTTAGAATTTTATACTCTAATTAAAATTTAGGTCAAACTAAAAGTGTAATATTTATGATAATTATTCCTTCGAGATGATTGAAACATAAGGATAAAAAGGTTGAAACCACTTCATATCTTTTTTTGCTAAAGGGTATAATTATAATTTTTTTCCAAATTAATGAAGATCAGAAGATAATTAAGTTTAGATGATTCAAGTGTAAGTTGACACAAGTTAAGAAGTCAATTATTCACTGATTTAAACCTCCAAATCAATGGTTAAATATAGTTCGATCTTTTAATAAGAATCAAACACATTTCATAAAACTTTTCAAATTTACAAGTATATCCTCAAAAGATTTAAGAGTTTCATACTGAGCTAAGATTGATCTAAAATCATTTAAAGGGATTAGAAAAGAATGAAAATAACTTATCATAAACATTTCTAAAACACTACAAGCTTAAGCTCAATTGAGTAGAGAAAAATATTTCCTTAAGTGATTATGCTTACCCCTAGGGGTGACTACCCACATCAACCTCAAACATAACACTAACGAAGCGACTACTTGCCTAACTCTTGGGTTAATTGAAACATGAAATATGAGCACAACTCTAGGCATTGAAATAAAAATTTAACTTAATCAGAGTTGATTAATTCAAAAATATAGTAATACCAAATGAACTTGAAATAGTTAGGAGATTCTAAAGTTGTTTAGGGTTACTCCCCGAACACCTTTACAAGATTTTGAAAATTTTAGAGAACATTTGGGCTTACCTAAATTTGTTGAAGAAAATCATCCTTAAAACCATATAGACCCACCAAGATATGATTCGGGGACCCTTTTAACTTAAATCTTTAAGGAAAACCTTGTCACTACTTATCCCACACTTAATCCCAACACTCAAGGGTATGAATTTTTGGATATGATATTCAAACCCTTGTGGGCACTTGGGAATATTTTAATGTTGCATATGGATCATCGAGCTAGTGTAAGTCAAAGGTCTGGGTAGTAAGGGCGATGACAATAATGCTTATGTGTGCTAAGAGTGGTACATGAGAATAATATCTCCTACATCAACAACCTTCGAGGAGGGGATAAGATCGATGATATTATTCCCCAACTTTCGGTAAGAAGTTGTCCCTCGTTTTCTTAGGCTGCAAGTAGTTTTAGTCTGATCAGGGTGATTAACTTATGGATTATCCAATTTTGCCTAAACATTTACATATATATACAACACAACAAAAATATCATTTTTTTGTGACAGTAATACTTTTTATTGTTAAGTAAGTTCTACATTCATGAAAAAATTAAAGGATTTTGATGAAATACTATAATAGTCCTTGTATTAGTCACTTTGATTGAGGAAAGGAATTGACCTTCTTAGATTGTTTGGTTGGTAGCTCTTTTACAAAGTTGGGATAATAAAGCACACAACCGAGCTTTGAGCCACCACCTTTACCAAATTCTTACATTTAACCCTGATCTTCTATATGTGACAATGAGTTTGTTTTACTCGATTTGCGTTTTCGTACAATTTAATTAAGTTTTTCTTGTGCCAAATTTTCTTACAATTTTCTTAAATTGCCCTCATTTGCTCGAATTTCCTGCACATTACTATATTATGTTTGTTGTACTAAACCTTTTGCAGCAGTAACAGAGGCCAAGATATGTGTTGTTTTAGTTTGTTTCTTTTTCTTTACTGCATTTTTACAATGTGTTTTACCTATATACTTGTCAGACCTTTAAGATAGAGAACAGTAGTCTGGTTGTTTAGGATAGATCACTATAACACATGAACAAACACATCCTTAAACTTTAATAATAATAAGGTCAATTGGCTTGATAAATACTTACATGTATAAACATAACACATAAACCTTGGAGCTGCTATTATGGTAAGGATCTTGGAGCAAACTACAGGCGGATGGAGGTCGACTTCGAAAAGTGGTCAACATTCTACAACAAAGCGGATCTACTCCAGCTAAACTTTCCTTAGTCATAAACAACATAACCCATAGGAATTTGAGGTTGTCCGTCTATTGTGACATAAATTCACACCATTTTTTAGATTTTTTGCACAATCATGTTGTGTAATATAAGTCATAAGTATTTTAAGATCTCGAGGTCTTCCTTCGATATGACATAAACCTCCCATCTTCCAGGCTACTTACATGATCAGGTATCATGCATGTGTAAGCCCTAAATAATAAAAATTGGTAGAATTGAAACATCAAATAATATCATTTTCAAAGATTTAAAGCCAAACAGTAGGATAGTTCGGGAAGTCACCGAAGTTTTCCTTGGATCTGTGACATCTCCTACCTTTCACTCCTTTGACTCTTGAAAATAACTGTTCATACTTGAGTCATTCCCATTTGGTCTTTCTGTGTTTAATCATGAAAACCTAAATGTTGAATCCTTGAAGACAAAAACCTTTGATTATCATTGAGAGTTTTCTTAAGTGACTTCGGCCATTTATGATGTAATTAACTATAAATTCTTCCACTTATAGGGAACTTGAAACCCAGATAATATAAACCATATCTAATATTTATATTTGATAGGAGAAATTGTCGGTCTTACATAAAATGTTCGCAGACCAAATATATGTCATAAATTTTTTAGTTTATTTTATTAAGTCTCACTATCAAGTAATGTGTTTATTCCTCGAGATGAGTGCATTGTTTGATAGTGTTGTGCTCGGTTACTAAACTACTAAAATGTATAAGATTTTTTAGTCTCATTTTTTAGATTAAAATATATTTTTTTTCAAAATTATATATATATATATATTATATATATATATATTAAATTAAATTAAAATCATTTTCCTAAAATTCCTATCGACAACGAGGAACTCAATTTCCTCTTCCTTCTGTTTTGTCTAGCCATAACCCTTTAAATTATACTGCCAAGTGAGGAATGATGTGTTTCTTTCTTCATTGATTTCTTGTTCAATTCAATTATTTTTTTTTTTCAATTTATTAAGCTCAGTCTTGGGAGGTCTGTGACCGTATTTTGTAAATCTGACAATCTGCTATTTATTATTCTTGAAATTTAAAAAGTAAATTATCCTAATTTCTTAGTGATTGAATAATTTTTTGATACCTTTATTGGCGCCTGTAAACGTTGGGTGAGGGGTGATGTCACTTGAAACTAAAGGTTCTACATCATATGAAATTGGTGATTGTGATGTGGAATGAGTTTCATGATGTGGAATGAGCTGGACTGACTTGTCCTTCAATTGAATGGGCAAGTAGATGAAAAAATATTACATCAGTACTACGCACGTAGAGTAATGTGTGTAGCCAATGAAATCACGCCACGACACCCCGCACGATAGAGAAAAAAATGGCGCAGTAACACGGGGAATATTCCCCCCCGGTGTTATTCATGTGTTATTGTGTCCTGAGAATATTCCTGGTGTTATAATAACACAATAACACATCAATAACACATGAATAACACATGAATAACATGGCGGAAAAAATTCTCTCGTGTTACTACGTCGATTTTTTCTCTGTTGGGAATATTCCCCGTGTTATTCATGTGTTATTGTGTGTTGTTCATGTGTTATTGTGTCCTGAGAATATTCTTGGTGTTATAATAGCACAATAACACATTAATAACACATGAATGACATGCAATAACACATGAATAACACTCAATAACACAAGAATAACACATGGAAGAATATTCCCTGTGTTACTGCGCCGTTTTTTTTCCTTGTCGCGCGGGATGTCGTGGCGTGATTTTATTGACTACGCACGTTACTTCTACGTGCGTAGTACTGATGTAATATTTTTTTCCAAGTAGATAGTGTTCTTAGTATTTCAAATCCAAAAAAAGAATCTGCCTTGTAAAATTAAAATCGAATATTAAATGATTTTTTTCAGAATTACAAACGGCTCCTCAACATTGCATTAAAAGCAAGTCAATCTGCCTTGTAAAATTAATGAAGTTATAGGTTTTGTAAAATTACCATATTATTCATGTCAAAGTCTAAGAGCTCTGAGCTCTGAGTTTTTCTTTTCTAATTTTTTTTTTTTGGTCAGTGAGCTTCGAAAACGGAACCTTTCAGTGCGGAAGAAAATGACTAACCGTAGCCTCCAGGCAAAACAAAAAGCATAATTGCATCCTTCATATATATATATATATATATATATATTTTTTTTTATTTTTCATATTTAACATTAAACAAAAGGATTTGTAAATAAAAGAGCTAATGCCACGACCAGTTCATAAATTGTGAAAGCGTCCATAAAAACCAAACTAAGCAATAAAATACCTCGTATTTTACCCTCTGCTTCTAGTTGTCTAGCAATACCTTCTACAGCTTGGCCCACAACCAACCCCGGTTCCGATAGAAGCAAGCCCTCCAATCCATCAGCAATAAGGGAAGCAGCAAAAAGAAGTAGATTCAGTACTAATTCATTAGTTGGTTTTATCATTAACTATTTCTTTTTTTGGTGCGAGGAAATTAATGACACATTGGAGAAATCATTTAACACTAACAGATAAGTCAACATTACTAATTAATCAACCAACTGACTGTTCGTTCAACTGAAGCTGAAGCCCTACAAAATCACCAACACTACAAAAAATAAAAATAAAAAAGCTGCAGCTACCATTGTTAAGAGTCATAAGCACCATGATCATATACATTAGCACAGCTTGAAAGCAAAGAAGAAAAGAAACCAAAATCTCAAATTTCAAGATCACCAGCTCCAATTTGTTTGTGTGCTTCAAACAAAACAATTTCTCTGCAAGAGCTCACCTCCGGACTGAAGTTTTGGAAGCTTAATTGTGTTAGATTGCTGATAGAATCTCCGAGAAACATTTCATCTACTGTTTTAAGTTGTTCATCATCATCATCATCATCATCATCACCACCACCAACACCATCACCATGACGATACATCATCATCATCATCACCACCACCACCACCACCATCACCACGACGACCACCGGCAGCAGGACTAGAGCTGGCACTACTATACTCGCTACTATACTCATCATTTGAAGCAATTTCCCTATCATCACTATGCATCTCTTCATCATGGCAGCCATCTGATGAAGATTGAGAAGAGAAGCTTGGAGAAATTCCTCCCATGGAGGCTTCTTCTCTTTCTCTAAGTATTTTCAAGATCAGGGACTTGAGCAGGTTCATTACTTGCACAGCATGCATCAAAGCCGTCAATGGATCAGACATCTGACAGACAAGAAAACCCAAAAAAAAAAAAAAAAGTAGCATACAAAGATGGTCATCCCTCAATCTGGCCAGAAAAAAATAAACACGTTGTTTATATTAGCTGGAATAGTTCCCAAGGCGAACTTTAACTAAATTGATATTTTTATAAACTCTGGGACTAAAGTGATCGTAGATAAAGAGCTAACTGATCATTTTAATAACATGGATTCATTTTAATCTCTGAGTCTATAAGAGAATCAAATTAGTTCCCAAATTGTTTTAATATTTTCTGGAATAAACCTCAGGGAAGACTATTTTAGCTCACACTAAACGAACCTGGGACTAAATTGAGTCTTTTATACTTTGAGACTAAAATGACACTTGACAAAGAGTCAGGATATCATTTTGGCAATTTTCTCCTTTTTGTTACTCTTTATATAAGAATTTAAATTAGCATTGATTTTCTAAAGGTAGACAACATTTGTAGTTTTGTGTGATTGATGTGAAGGTGGGCACAAACCTGAGTCATGTTTGGAGCGAAGACCATTGCTATGTTTCTTGCATTCATTTTATTCAATTCTTCCACTTCAACAACATCAGCCATGAGTTCAACAGCCCAATTGAGAAGAGCAGCTTGAGTTGGATGGAGAAGGTGCACAAGTTCCACGCATCGCTCCTCCGTGTCACATTGAAGAACTTGTTCGGGAGAAAGTCCGTCGAGGACCCCTTCAGGAAGTTCTCTGAACCAAGCCTGCAAAACTTATGCTCACATAACAATTTTCAATACTCTTGAGTAAAAGTTTCAATTGATGATGTGAAATCAACTTTACAAATAGGAGCCTCTTGGGATCACTTTTTATTTTTATTTTGTATTTTATATAATTTTACTTGAAAAAAAATTAGTTTGATATATTATAACATTTTTAATTGTATTTAAAAATACTCATGGTAACTTTTATCTGTTTTGAATTGTTCTAAAAACAAGCTAATTTATTTTTAAAAAATAAAAATATGAAACTGTACTAAATAAATATATTTTTAAAAGTAAAAATTGCTAATAAAAAAACAAAAGAATAAAAATTGTCCCAAATAAGCCTTAAAATTTCTCAAATTTCCTGTCTGTTGCATGTACTTATTGTAAGTACAGGTCAATCATGTTCCTCCCAGAATCATATTCTACTGAGATTCTGTAGTGCATTTAGGTTCAAAAACTCCCGCAGACCGGCCAAAGCATTAGTTTAATCTAATCAAACAAATTATATATATTTTTAATCCAAAGTGAGCATAGTTTAATACTTCAACTCAACTTCAGAATTTTTAATAAAGACTACAAGACATTGAAAGGCTTGTTCTTTCTCCCGTATCCTACCGTTTTTCTCACAAGCAGAAGATTCAATTCTACGACTTCAATTTTTTTTTTTTAAAAAAATTCCATTTACCTTTAAAAAAAAAAAAATCATGCACAACACCAAATCAAGTCTGAGAAGTTAGCTTTCAGTAACAGAACAAATCAAACACAGATTTCACTAGGGCTTGTTTTGTTTGCTAAAAAACAAAAAATGCAATGTAAAAGAAATGTAATATAGAAGGAATGCAGTGTAAAAGTAATGTATTATATTTTGAATACTTTAAAGTTGATGTAAAATAAATACAAGACTTCACTATTTCATGTTTGATTTGAAGAAAAATGAAATCAATGTAAAACTGATATCAGAGTTGAACCCAAATAAAAATAAGTAACAAATATTATTATGAGAAAAACCAATACATAATTATTACTAACATATTGAAATTGAAAATAACAACAGACACGACACATGATGCGCGACTAGGGCAGATCTTGGGAGGTGGTGGTGACTGCGAGTGACTTGGGAAGGTAGAGACATTGCGATAGGTGGGATGGACAGTGGAAAAATAACAGATGTTACAACCAACACAATGAAATGAAAAACAATAATATACATGACATACGACGCGCAACTAGGGCAGATTTAGAGAGGTGGTGGTGGACTCCTAGAGAATTGGAATGGTGGTGGCAAAGCGGTACATGGAATGGACAGTGAATAAACAGTAGGTGGGGGGAAATTCGAGCAGCGACAGGCAACTGGAGGCTCGAGACAACCAAAAACAACAACCAGTTACTGTTCTGGGGGCAGCGGCAGCAATATGGGATGCCCAGGGAGAAATAAAACATCAGGATGAGTATGATTCTTCAGCTGCAGCGAGGTGAGATGTCTGGACAACAGGGAAAACAGTAAAGGGTTGAAAAGAGCGTCTGGGAAGGGGAAAACAGCAAGGACAGCTGTTAGGGGGGTGGCTGCATCAGGGAAGGACGACATGAAGTGGTGGGGAGCGATGTGGGAAGGAGGTGGAAGGGTTGAAAGGTGGAAACTACAGAAAACCAGCCAGTGGGAAGGAGGTGGAAGGGTTGAAAGGTGGAAACTGCAGAAAACCAGCCAAGGAGCTGCAGAAACCCAGCCAAGGAGGACTGTTTTCGTAGCCTGCAACAGGTACGACAATGGCGATAATGGAGATAAGGATGCGATGAACAGGAAAGTCGAGGATAATCACCACTACAGAACGAGATATAGTCAGAGGACCACTCGCTCTTGGATACAACCCTAGCAGGGAAGACTTAGAGACACCAACTGTCGTCCCAACAGAAGACATACAAAAAGTAACGGTACACTCTTAGGAAAGTGAATTTATAATAATAACATAACTAAGAGCAGGCCAAAGAACCGGTCGACACTCCCAAAATAGAGAAAGGCCTTGACCAATTTTGTCCAGGCGAGCAGACGGCATTTGCGGGTAGCAGAAAATCCCGCGTGCAGAAGACGGGCCGATTCAGTTCTGCAGGTCATAAGAAATCTTGCGTAGGGAAGACGCCCGCGTCAAAAATATATGGCTAACAAGGGGCAGCGGAAAGGGCAACTGTGGCGGTAGCTGGTGACAATGATGTGCAATACTTTACATAACAATGCACTTAGAATTGGCCCAGATTCTTTGAATTTCAAATATATTGAAAATGAACTAGATAATGAATTCTAAATGCATTATAATATTACGCTACATTTGGAATTCATCTGATCAAAAATCCAATTTTCCGAAACTTCAGCCGTACATTCTTAGGAAAGTGAATTTATAATAATAACATAACTACGAGTGGGCCAAAGAACTAGTCAACGCTCCCAAAATAGAGAAAGGCCCGGAACAATTTGGTCCAGGCGAGTAGACGCCGTTTGCGGGATGCAGAAAATCCCGTGTGCGGAAGGCGCTCGATTCAGTTCTGCGGAGAAATCTTGCGTGCGGAAGATGCCCACGTCAAAAATATATGGCTAACAAGGGGCAACGGAGAGGGCAACCGTGGCGGGAGACGGCGCCGGGTAGGGGTGTAAACGAACCGAACACGAACGAACAAAGCTTGTGTTCGTGTTCGGTTCGTTTAAAATTTAGTTTGTTTGAAATAAGCTCGTGTTCGTTTCTTAACGAACAACTAACCGAACGAAAAAAATTTGTTCGTGTTTGTCTCGTTTACTTATCGAACGAATCGAACACGAACTCATTGACGAACCGAACACGAACTGTTCGCGAACAACGAGCTTTTTTGACAGCCCTAGCGCCGGGCAGTAGCTCATGACAACCATGTGCAATACTTTACACAACAATGCACTTAGAATTGGCCCAGATTCATTGAATTTCAAATACATTGAAAATGAACTAGATAATAAATTCTAAATGCATTATAATATTACGTTGCATTTGGAATTCATCCGACCAAACACCCAATTTTCTGAAACTTCAGCATAAAGAATGCAGTGCACACCTTTTTATAGCAAACCAAACAGCACCTAAAAGTATTCTTACTTTACATGAAGCCCATAAGTTAGAAATATTGGAAAGAATGCATTACAAATCAAAAGCACAACACTATGCTTTGGTAAGAAGCAATAGCACTATAGATCAAATAACTGGTTTGACATTACTTATAGACTTTTACTATAACAATTAAAGCAATTACTGCGTAGTCTTTTAAAAAAACTTTAAAATAAAACCACTTTACCTTTATAAGGCTAGCTAAACAATGAACTTCAATATCTTCTGGTACAATGCCCTTGTTGAGTTGCTCTCTCAACTCTTCCTCTTTGCTGTTTTCAGGATTTATACGGAATATCCCCTCTGCCTGAATTTGAAATAAAACATATTTTTAATGGAACAGATATAATCATATAAGATGAGAAATTTACATACATACCACTCAATTCTTATCTATTTATATATCTAATGCTCAAAGTTCAATATTTACACTTATAACATCTTCGTGTCATTATCCTATGCATGAAGAGGTGTATTATTTTATTTTTAAAAAGATAGAGATGGTTGTATTTTTTATTTGATGTTAAAGATTTGAGTGGTAAGCTTGCCAATATGAATTTTTAGGAGTTAGATATGTAACTACATAAGAATTGTGTGGTATGTATATATATGCCCCTATAGTTATTTATGAACTCTTTTCACATGAATAAAAAATATGTTAATACCTTCAGCCCGCCTTGAGAATACAACCTTTCCTGCATAAGTAACAGAATAATGGGCACGCTATTACCTTTAGAATCAAAACAACACTGCATCGATTCAGCTGAGACGCCAAATACACTGGCACTGTACAAATTAAGATAATTTTCATCATATATAAATATAATCTTAAATTGGCAAAACTTAAATCAAGAAAACTGCTAGATTCAGGACAGAAACAACTTTAGAGGACAATTGATTTCGATTCTGAATGAAGATAAAACAGTAGCAACGATATCAGAAGCACATTTCTACAATAAAAATGCTTCTTTACTTTGGAATAATAGAAAGTTCCTAAGAGAGGTAATCTAGTAATGTTGATCAAGCATTAATATAGTATATTGTTCATTTGTTTCTGATTTATTTTTTCCTTGAAGCATTTTGGTATTCAATTTTTCAAGACAGAAAGTAAGCATGTAATCTTTTTGGGAAATTTACATATGCAGTACACAATTCTTATGTATTTACACATCTTACACCTAAACTTTCATATTTACATACATAGTACTTTAATGCTTTAAATCTATGCATGAAAGTGCATTTCGCTTTTAGAAAGTGGTAATAGTGTTATTTTTGATGTGATATTATAGCTATAGATTTGAGTGCTATGTGTGCAAATATGAAAATTTTGGTGTGAAATATGTAAATAGATAAGAATTATGTGATATGTAATAAAACACCCCATTTTTTCCCCTCTGTATACACCTAAAAGGATTTGCCAAGTTGCTAAGTTGCTGAGCTGTCAAACTTTAGTACCAAGCTCACTTGTTGAGTTGCGAAGTTGCCAAGCTCACCTGCCAAGTTATCGAGTTTTCAAGCTGACGAGTTGCTAAGATAACTTGTCAAGCCGGCGAGTTGTCGAGTTCAAATATATGAAATGACATGACATAAAACTGCATAACATGACATAAAACTACATAACACGACAGAACATTATGTATATTTATATATTTTTATTTCCTATCAAAATTTGTACCAAGATTAAAAGACACCCGAGACTTATAAATATGAGTAAAATGTGAAAAAAAAGAGGGAAAAGAACATCTCTTCCCACGGGCTACTTTATTTATTTCTCTATTTTCTGCTCAATGCTTGTAGGATTTGAGCATAACCCACAAATATTTTTTGACCCAATATTCTAAGAGAATTCAACATTCTGAAAGATGCAGTGAACATGAACATATGCCTTAAATCTAGAATTACACGTAAATATCTCGATAAGGACTACAAAGATCAAACTAAAGAAATATTACTATATGAGATAAGATATGTCCTTAAATATTTTATTTTACATCTTTTAAACTCTTTTACCTCTAATTTGTTATATAACTTTCATTATTAGTTTCATTTCTCAAAATATATTTTGATAAATTGAGGACCTTGTCCCTCATAAATACGTTTCCTAAGAGTAAAGGGAAAATTGCTTAAACTTTTATTAGATCATACTTCATTCAATATAGAATGCTAGGGGCGACTTAAATTTTTTTTTTCTAAAATTAAACTTTGTTGAATAAATAATGAAGTAGGTTAACCTAGGGATTGAAAATCAGGAAAACCACCCAGGTAAAGTTGAAAAATTATAACTACTCATCGTAGGTGTATCCAAAGTGCCCCCAGGAGAACGATAGTCTTAATTTAATGAAACCATTTAAATTCCTTTATAACTGAGTTATATTATAAGAAATCAGTTCATTAAGTTGCATAAAAAGATAATAAAATTAATTTTTTACTAATAATACTCAGATATAACTCTCCATATGCGAACATTCAGTCAACTATAACAACTTTAAAGGTGTGCCATAATGCCCTCAAAACAGAATCCAGTAGGTGTAGCCAAAGTGCCCCGAGAAGATTCCTTATAGTAGTGCTAAGAGTTGCTAAGAGCTACAAATAGACAAATAGTCATTATATGATAAAAAACGCCACTCATTTTTATCAAAATAATTTTAATTCTTATCAAAGTTTCATTTTTCGGATAATGAAGTACACACTTGCCTGGAGACAAGCAATGCATAGCTTCATGTTTTTTATTCATTTATTATTTTCACATTTTACTATCAAATAGAAAAGAAAATTAGAGGACTAAGAATATAAACTTAAAAAATTTGTCAAGATGCCAAGCGTCGAGTTGACAAATTTACATGTCAAGCTGTCGAGTTGTCGAGCTATTGAGTTTCCAACTATAAGATGTTGAGCTATTGAGTTTCCAAGCTATTAAATGACATGACATAAAACTGCAGGACATGATAAAACTGCATGTCATGACATAAAACTACAAGACTTGACATAAATTAATATGAAATGACATAAAATTGCTCATGACATAAAACTGCAGGACATGATAAAACTGCAGGACATGATAAAACTGCAAGTCATGACATAAAACTACAAGACTTGACATAACCTAATATGACATGACATAAAATTGTAGATGTGACATAATATTATCTATTTTTATATATTTTTATTTTATATCAAAATTTGTACTAGGATAAGGACACCAATGAATAATAGAGATAAAATGTAAAACAAATGAGAAAAATCACACTCTCTTCCCACAAACTACTCCTCTTCTCTTTCTTTCTTCCTCTTCTACTCAATGCTACGAAGATTTGGGCATAACCCAAAAATATTTCGGGACACAGCGTCCTCAAATGATTCAACACCCTTGAAGCATTTAGGTAGTCAAATTTTCAGGATCGGAAGTAAGCTTGTAATATTTTTTAAGATATCTGGACAAATAATCAAGAATCAAAGAAAGGATGTCTTCTTTTAACTAGTTTGACCAAGGAATCTACTAAATTTAGGTAACCTCAACCAAAAATAAGAAGCAATTCCTCATATTTACAGATATAACCACATGAAATAACCCTTGATTAAATCAGATATTCAATAAAGAACACCGAGGTTCATGTTAAATTAAAAACACAAAGGTTTGTGCGATGATGAACTTCACATAATAATGGCCAAACATGATAATTATCCTTCCGGCTCTTACAACATTGGATCACGCCAAAATATATACTATTTAAAATACATCTCATATATGCTAACATCAAAGTTCCAGCATAAACTAACTATCCAATTAAAAATTTTATCATCAATAATCTTGTGGTCTGTTTCCCCATCATTGATTCCATTATCCTAAGGCATAATGGTCTAACACGGACCTCAAAGACAATGCGACTTACTTCTCTCCCTTTCAATCGATCAAAGTGCCTATATATTCTCAATTGAAATTAGTTTACTTCGTACTTAACTCTCTTAACAAATATATTGCAAATGCATGATAAGATGATCAAAATACACCCCATTCAAATAACTAATGAATGAACTCGTGCTGACATGAATGAATGGCATGCAAAATTTCAAAAGCATGATCAACCATATAAAAAAAAAGAGGGCATTCCCAATTCATATGTATTTACATTTCTAAAACCTAAAGTTTGTGTTTTTTACAT